ACCCCAAACAGCACGGACACTTTAGGAAGTAAACGACAAATTAAGTTTGACACGTAAAGAACCCTTTCAATTTATTTGATGGCCAGTTCGAGGATCGGTGCAAAATTCACCCTTGATTATCCCGTTGCGGTGGTTACAACTAAGCAGGGATAAGTCCCGTGTACATGAGATACATTGTCTAGCTTCAGTACAGACTGTCAAATTGACTTTTTTCATTAGAACAATCTTTTGTTTACCTGTATCCTAGCAACCGGAAGTGATGACGTCACACTCTATGGACGCGTCGTCTGACGTCATCACGCACGTTTTTGATGAACCAGAAAGTGCATGAAGCACTCAGTAAGGTGGATGGTCGATGGAACTAGTTTTACAGCTGATTTGGTTCCTGTTTGATATCTGGGCAGGGCCGGACTGGGGATACAAAGCAGCCCTGAAAAAAAAAAATCTATGCCAGCCCCGCAGCACGGCATGGGGAAAAAAAAGGTGAGTAAAAACACTATTTTTAAACACACACAGACACACACATACACTATGACAGGCACCTACCCACACCATGACAGACACACACATACCATGACAGGCACACACACACACACCTTGACAAACACACACATACCATGACAGACATGCACACACCTGGAGAGAGACACACATACCTTGACAGACACGCACACACCTTGACAGACGCGCACATACCATGAGAGTCACACACATACCGTGACAGACACACACCCATCATGACACACAGACACACACCATGACAGACAGAAACACACCATGACACAGACACACACACATACACTCACACTAACAGACTGACACATAATATAGCTACCTGTAGGCAACTGGCCAGGGAGTCGTGCAGGACAGACAGCTAGGTCAGGTGTGCTGGCGGCTGCAGGGGGATCTGCTCCCCATCGTGCATCTTAATGAGACCGCAGCAGGAATATGACGCGCGAGGGCGGGGGAGCAGAGCCAGCACAGCCAGCTCCCCCTGCGGCCGCCAGCACAGACAGCTGTCTGTCCGGCTCCAGGTGCCAACAGCCCACCGGGAAATTTCCTGGTATCCTGGTGGGCCAGTCCGGCCCTGTATGTGGGGGGCAGCACTGCAGTTAGTGTGAGCACTTTTCCTGTATATGTGTGTATTTGTATCCATGCTTTATCAAGGACATTAGTGTTGAGAAAGGGTATTCACCTGAAACGTTTGCAACTTGTACTTTGTCCTTCCAATAAATATTAGCACCTGGGTGTTCACTATTTCTTTTTTGTTTTGGACCTAAAGTAGGTGTAACAAACGCTAATGCCGTTCATTGATTATCGGGATGTAGTGTATGCACCTGCATAAACTTAAAGGGAAACTATAGTGCCAGGAAAACATACTAATTTTCCTGGCACTATAGCTTCCCCCTCCTGTGGCGCTCGTATTAGGATCTCCCCATAGGAAAGTATTATTCACTGCTTTCCAATGGGATATTCCGGTGACGCTGGAAGTTATGTTCAGCGTCGTTTAGCCAACCAGAAGTCCCCTATCCACATGGAAGTCCCTCTAGTGGCTGTCTGGTAGACAGCCACTAGAGGAGGAGTTAACCCTAGCAGGTAATTAGTGCAGTTTATAAAATCTACAATAATTACATGCTATGGGTAAAGGTTGATGGGAGTTTGCACCCAGACCACTTTAATGAGCTGAAGTGGTCTGGGTGCCTACAGTGTCCCTTTAATGTGTTATATAATTTGTTTTGCCGCTTTGTACTAGAATGTAATTACATGACCCACCACTGTGACATGTTAAAAGAGCTCAACTGGCTATCGCTGGAATCCCGACGCACCCTTCATCTTTCCAGCTTTGTGTTTAAGAGCATTTATGGGAAGCTCCCTCCCTACCTGAGTAGAATGCTCTCCCCAACTGTTCCCATCTCCTAAAACCTCCGATCCAGTACTAGCATGATATTTAGCATACCGCAATACAAAAATAAAGTGGTTCGATCCTCCTTTTCCTACAGAGCACCGCAATTATGGAATAACCTCAAGGACACAGTCAAATCTTCATTCAATCTAAAATCCTAAGATGTACGGCAATATACCTCAATACAGAATGCACCTGTCATGGCTGAATATATTTATCACCTGTTATGTATTAAATTTATATATGTGTGTGTGTGTGTATATATATGCTGTATATTGTATTATTTTTTGTAATATTATATTGTATCCTATTGTAACAATGCAGTGTTTGTGAGCCCAGGACATAATTGAAGAAAACATTGAGAAATCACAATGTATCCTTCCTGGTAAAATATTTTATGAATAAATTAAATAAAATTCAATAATTGTGAAAAAAAACCTGATTTGCAAATAAAGCTGCCAATCCAATGCTTTTCCACACGAAATGACTAGACGAAGGTTAACCCAGCAATGAAAACATCACAGTTTCTGCAGAATAGCAATGTTGTCAGCTTCGGGGTTAAAACATGGGAGATGGGAGACATGGCACCCAAACCATCATTGAGATGAAGCGCCCTGGGTTCCAATAGCGTCCCTTTAATCCATCTTCACCCATTGAAGGTTATGCACAGACTGAACTCTGAGAGCATGGAGAGTCCTTATAAAGGCTTCCCCACACTATGTCAGCTAATGCAAAGCATGAGAACACTTCCCACTCCATGCAATATGAGTCACAACGCTCTGACAGCTAAGTCTATAGAGAAGAATCACATGGGATGGGACCTCTCTAGAGCACATGGGATGGGGCCTTTCTAGGGTACAGAGGATGGGGGCTTTATAGGGTACACGGGATAGGGCCTTTCTAGAGCACATGGGATAGGGCCTTTCTAGAGCACATAGGATAGGGCCTTTCTAGGGTACAGAGGATGGGGGCTTTATAGGGTACATGGGATAGGGCCTTTGTAGAGCACATGGGATGGGGCCTTTCTAGGGTACAGAGGATGGGGGCTTTATAGGGTACATGGGATAGGGCCTTTCTAGAGCACATGGGAGGGAGGCTTTCTAGGGCACATGGGATGGGGGCTTTCTTGGGCACATGGGATGGGGCCTTTCTAGGGCACATGGGATGGGGGGCTTTCTAGGGCGTATGGGATGGGGGCTTTCTAGGGTACATGGGATGGGGGCTTTATAGGTGTTAAGACACCTCCAGTGTCTTTAGGCAAAACCGCAGTTTAGTAGACCTTCCCCGGCTGCAGTACAGTCTCCGTTCGCTTAATCTGTAATATATGAACCAAATGCAGGGGAAGCGGCAATCTCCCGAATGAGATCCGTGAACGGCTCCAAACTCCCGAACGGCAATACGCGAATTGCTGGTAACCGTTGAACAGCAATATTCACCAAGCGGCTTCCGTTCCATCCAGCAGTCTCTAAACGTGAAGAAGAAATCCCCCCAATAACGAGACAGAAGCTCCGCATTGAGGGTCAAACAGGATCTGGCTTTACTGTGGGCTACCTGCCCGTATTTATGCAGGTCTCCCACTTGGTGGACACTCCCCTAGGGGACCAAATGGGAGACTGGAATTACAGATAGACATGGGGACATTCCAGACATACAGTTACAGATTTTACCCACAGTGCATTATGATTCCCTCCCCTCTGTCCTGGAGTTAATTACCAAGTAACTCAATTAACTCCAGAACAAAGCCAGTCGCCATTTTAAATATAAAATCACAAAAGACATAAAAATATATAACTTCACAAAAACCGAACATTTCCCATTCGTATTACATATCCCCAGATAGCCTGGATCTGAGTGCATATTATTAGCGAATAGCGCTCAGATCCCACACACATAGTTCAATCGCCATGGAGTCAAAGTTCTTACAGTCTTTCGGTATACGAATGACTCCATGGGAAGGCTATCTGGGTTAAGTCTTTTCGTATGCTCAAAAACTCCCGAACGGCCGGTGTTCATATGGTTTCGTGGAGGCAGCCAGGCGTTCCGTTGTTTCAGCAGTGTTCGGCAGAAAAAGTGTCCGTTTTTAGTTCCACAGAAATAGAGCCAAACACCGCTGGGCGTTCGCTTGGTTTAAAATGGCCGCTGCCTCGTGGTCGACATACGAACGACGACCACCCTGAATTCGGTTTAATTGAGAAGTGTCTGCGGTTAACCACAACGTTCTAATTGGGATCAATAGGTTAACCAGCAGCACACTTCTCTCCTGGGTGGCCGTTCGTTCGGCAGTTTTGTTCAGGAAAAAAGAGTCATTCGAATGGCTGGGCTATGGAAACCAGCCATTCATACGAACGGGAGACAAACAGACGAATGCAATTAAAATACAAGCAGACAGATGGTTCTGTCACAATAGGGTACATGGGATAGGGCCTTTCTAGAGCACATGGGAGGGAGGTTTTCTAGGGCACATGGGATGGGGGCTTTCTTGGGCACATGGGATGGGGCCTTTCTAGGGCACATGGAATGGGGGCTTTCTAGGGCCTATGGGATGGGGGCTTTCTAGGGTATATAAGATGGGGCTTTTCTAGGGTACATGGGATGGGGGCTTTCTTGGGCACATGGGATGGGGCCTTTCTAGAGTACATGGAATGTGGGCTTTCTAGGTTACATGGGAGAGGGCCTTTGTAGAGCACATGGGAGGGGGGCCTTCTAGGCCGCATGGGATGGGGGCTTTCTAGGGTATATAAGATGGGGCTTTTCTAGGGTACATGGGATGGGGGCTTTCGAGCAACTGTGCAGTAATGGCTGTACAGTTGCTAGGTTTAAACATTTAGGAGACATGTCCCCAATGGCAAGTGGGTGCATAGGAAGGCAAAACATTTTAGTAGTTTTATTGACCCAATAGGACTTTTGATTATTATAAAAGCCATCACATAATTAACCTTTCGATTGCTGGAGATTCGCTCAGTTTGACCAAATTCCGACTGCATTTGGCTTCAGTAAATATGTCGCAATTCAATCATTTTCACTGTTTTTTGTCTATGCAGACAAAATTGGTGTTTAGTGAATAACACCGACTCAGAGTGTGTGGTGACAGCATGAGAGAGAATGTGCGAGAATGAGGGCATGAGATTGAGACAGGGAATTAGTAAGTGTGAATAAGTAGTACAGGTAGGTAGTTCATCCCAAAGTATATCCCACCATAGGTGCTGGTGCCGCAGGTAAGTGTCCTGTTTGTGGGAGAGAGCATGAGCCAGTGTCACTCTGAGAGTGTGAGTGTCTGGAAGAGAGTGCTTGGGAGAGCAGGTGAGAGAGACGGAGAGCAAGTGATTGTATGGAAAAGAGCACATGAGAGACCATGTGAGTGACAGACAGTGTGTGTGAGTGATAGTGAATGTGACTGTCAGAAAGTGAGTGTAAGTGATAGACAGGAAATATGACTGTCAGACAGTGAGTGTGAGTGAGAAACAGTGAATGTGAATGTCAGACAGTTTTTGTGAGTGATAAATCAGTGTGAGTGACAGACAGTGAGCATGAGTGATATGCAGCAAGTGTGAGTGAGATAGACAGTGAATGTCTGTATAACAGACAGACACTGAGAATGAGTAATATGCAGACAGTGACAAAGAGTGGGTTTGAGTGACAGACATTGAGTGTAAGTGATAGAAAGTCAGTGTGAAACAATCAGTGTGAGTAATAGACAGTTGCGTGTGAGTGACTGACAGTATGAGTAACAGTGAGAGCGATTGACAAAGAGTGAATGTGAGTGGTAGACAAACAGTGGATGATATACAGACATTGAGTGTGACAGAGTGAGTGTTATTGACAGACAGTGAGAGTGAGTGACAGACAGTGGGTGAGAGACAGATAGTGAGTGAGTGAGTGAGTGACAGACAGACAGTGAGTGTGAGTGACAGGCAGACAGTGAGTGAGTGTGAGTGACAGGCAGACAGGCAGTGAGTGTGAGTGACAGACAGTGAGTGACAGAGAGTGAGTGACAGGCAGACAGTGAGTGACAGACAGACAGACAGTGAGTGAGTGTGAGAGACAGACAGTGAGTGAGGAAAGAGGCGAACAGTAAGTGTAAGTGATAGACAGTGAGTGTGAGACAATCAGTGTGAGTAATGGACAGATAGTGAGTGTCAATGATACAGTAACAGTGAAAGTGAGTGGTAGACAAAGAGAGGATGAAATACAGACATTGAGTGTAACAGAGTGAGTGTGAAATACTGAGTGTGACTGACAAATAGTGAGTGTGAGTAACAGATACTGATTGTGAGTGAGTGTGAGTGACAGACAGAGAGTGGGTGTGAGTGACAGACAGACAGTGAGTGTGAGAGACAGACAGACAGTGAGTGTGAGAGACAGACAGTGAGTGTGAGAGACAGACAGTGAGTGAGTGTGAGAGACAGACAGTGAGTGAATGTGAGTGACAGACAGTGAGTGAGTGTGAGTGACAGACAGAGAGTGAGTGTGAGAGACAGTGAGTGAGTGTGACAGACAGTGAGTGAGTGTGAGTGACAGACAGAGAGTGAGTGTGAGAGACAGTGAGTGAGTGTGACAGACAGTGAGTGAGTGTGAGAGACAGACAGTGAGTGAATGTGAGTGACAGACAGTGAGTGAGTGTGAGTGACAGACAGTGTGAGAGACAGTGAGTGAGTGTGAGTGACAGAGTGAGTGAGTGACAGAGAGTGAGAGACAGTGAGTGAATGAGTGACAGACAGAGAGTGAGTGACAGACAGAGTGAGTGTGAGTGACAGACAGTGAGTGAGTGTGAGTGACAGACAGTGAGTGAGTGTGAGAGAGACAGTGAGTGTGAGAGAGACAGTGAGTGAGTGTGAGAGACAGACAGTGAGTGAGTGACAGGCAGTGAGTGAGTGTGAGTGACAGGCAGACAGTGAGTTTGAGAGACAGACAGTGAGTGAGTGACAGACAGACAGTGAGTGTGAGTGACAGGCAGACAGTGAGTGTGTGACAGAGAGTGTGAGTGACAGACAGACAGTGAGTGTGAGTGACAGACAGTGAGTGACAGACAGACAGTGAGTGACAGACAGACAGTGAGTGTGAGTGACAGACAGACAGTGAGTGAGTGACAGACAGTGAGTGTGAGTGACAGACAGACAGTGAGTGTGAGTGACAGACAGACAGTGAGTGTGAGTGACAGACAGTGAGTGACAGTGAGTGAGTGACAGACAGACAGTGAGTGTGAGTGACAGACAGACAGTGAGTGTGAGTGACAGACAGACAGTGAGTGTGAGTGACAGGCAGACAGTGAGTGTGAGAGATTTGATTTTCCTGCTTCCGGTTTCTCTCTGTATCATGTGACCTCGGTAGTCACGTGTTTCCGGTGAGGTCACACCTCCTGTAGCTGGAAGGAACAAGTCTGTGAGCAGGTTGGAATGTTCTCACTGTCTGTATGAGATCCCTGGATACAATGTATCATTATTATACTTACTGTATCATTACATTGATATTATACCCTGTACATTATCAGTATAATCTGTGTATCATTATTATACTTACTGTATCATTACATTGATATTACACCCTGTACATTATCAGTATAATCTGTGTATCATTATTATAGTTACTGTATCATTACATTGATATTATACCCTGTACATTATCAGTATAATCTGTGTATCATTATTATACTTACTGTATCATTACATTGATATTACACCTTGTACATTATCAGTATAATCTGTGTATCATTATTATACTTACTGTATCATTATATTGATATTATACCCTGTACATTATCAGTATAATCTGTGTATCATTATTATACTTACTGTATCATTACATTGATATTACACCCTGTACATTATCGGTATAATCTGTGTATCATTATTACAGTTACTGTATCATTACATTGATATTATACCCTGTACATTATCGGTATAATCTGTGTATCATTATTATACTTACTGTATCATTACATTGATATTATACCCTGTACATTATCAGTATAATCTGTGTATCATTATTATACTTACTGTATCATTACATTGATATTACACCCTGTACATTATCAGTATAATCTGTGTATCATTATTATACTTACTGTATCATTACATTGATATTATACCCTGTACATTATCGGTATAATCTGTGTATCATTATTATAGTTACTGTATCATTACAATGATATTATACCCTGTACATTATCGGTATAATCTGTGTATCATTATTATACTTACTGTATCATTACATTGATATTATACCCTGTACATTATCAGTATAATCTGGTATCGATATTTATACTTACTGTATCGATACATTGATATTATACCCTGTACATTATCAGGTATAATCTACAATGTATCATTATTATACTTACCATCATTACATTGATGTTATACCCTGTACATTATCCGGTATAATCTGTGTATCATTATTATAGTTACTGTATCATTACATTGATATTACACCCTGTACATTATCAGTATAATCTGTGTATCATTATTATACTTACTGTATCATTACATTGATATTATACCCTGTACATTATCAGTATAATCTGTGTATCATTATTATACTTACTGTATCATTACATTGATATTATACCCTGTACATTATCAGTATAATCTGTGTATCATTATTATACTTACTGTATCATTACAATGATATTATACCCTGTACATTATCAGTATAATCTGTGTATCATTATTATAGTTACTGTATCATTACATTGATATTATACCCTGTACATTATCAGTATAATCTGTGTATCATTATTATACTTACTGTATCATTACATTGATATTACACCCTGTACATTATCAGTATAATCTGTGTATCATTATGTATCATTACATTGATATTACACCCTGTACATTATCGGTATAATCTGTGTATCATTATTATACTTACTGTATCATTACATTGATATTATACCCTGTACATTATCAGTATAATCTGTGTATCATTATTATACTTACTGTATCATTACATTGATATTATACACTGTACATTATCAGTATAATCTGTGTATCATTATTATACTTACTGTATCATTACATTGATATTATACCCTGTACATTATCAGTATAATCTGTGTATCATTATTATACTTACTGTATCATTACATTGATATTACACCCTGTACATTATCAGTATAATCTGTGTATCATTATTATACTTACTGTATCATTACATTGATATTATACCCTGTACATTATCAGTATAATCTGTGTATTATTATTATTATACTTACTGTATCATTACATTGATATTATACCCTGTACATTATGAGTATAATCTGTGTATCATTATTATACTTTGTAGCGGAGATGCAATAGTACCCAGGTTATCTCCGCTTATAATCCAAGTGAGACTCAGGAACAAGTAAATAGTAAATCCAAAGGCAGGGTTTCCAGCAGGTAAAATACAGCAATATCCCAACAGCAATCACAATAACTGGACGACACACAGTTTCAGGAGCATAACTCACAAGCCTTTAATCACAGTCTCCTTATAAAGCATGCTCCCATGCAAGGGAGGGACTTACAGTAATTATTACAGTAGCCAATCCTGTCCTGGTAACCTCCCACACATCTCCTCCCCTCAGCCAGCATCATAATCCCCTTATCCAGCACACCAATTCCCCCCGTTTCTGGATGTACCCCTAAAACGTAGGGGGTGCCCTTTATAAATCATACATCCGGGTGACCCTGATCTGGGTGAACAACATATCCAAAAATCACCCAGATCGGACCGAGGTTAGGGAAAAGTATGGAGGGAATAAGTAGGCCGACCGCTTACCCAGACTAAGAGCTAGCGGGTGGTTCCATGTGAATGGGCCTTGCGGTCGGTCTGGCATAAAGGGAACAAAATACTACCGAAAGCCACTCTAGCTATGAGGCTAGGGGGTCGCCTGAATCCCCTGGATTGATATTCTCTATTTACGAGCAGGGGCGTTCGACAGTTTGGAACCCGACGGACCAGGCTAATGGAAGGTCTCAGCGGTGTGCAGCCTGAGTGTCGATTTTAGTTCCGAACTTTCGGCGGCCAAAACTACCGCTGTTAAAATTTTAAAATGGCGCCGCCCGCATTGATGCGTTGTCGAATGGCGTACCCCGAAAAGAACAAAGGACGGCTACTTACTGTTCAATTACCCGTTCGCAACAATGTTGCAACGGGTAATTGAGGACACCCTTCACACAGGGAGGTCTGGTTGTTCGGTAGTTTCATTCGAATAAACTAAGGGAATGAAACTACCGAACAATCAGAGGAATACAATTCTTTTTTCAATACAAAGAAAATACAGCAGATACACGGATGCAGCTTTATACAGTATTTTGTAGGGTCGCCTGGTGCCATCCGCTACACTGCTCCCCCTTGCCCACAAGCCGGCATACACAGTCTGATCCAACACGGATCGGCTTGGGGATGTCCGGGGAGGCTCACAGATCATTTCTCTAGGTCAGTTTGTCGGGACAACCCATCAGCATTTCCATTCTGTTTACCCGGGCGGTACTGGATATTAAAGTCAAAGGGCTGCAGCGCCAGACTCCAGCGCAGCAGCCGGGCATTGTCCCCAGCCACCCGGTTTAGCCATACTAACGGGTTGTGATCCGTGAGCAGGGAAAAAGCTTGTCCGTACAAATAGGGCTGTAATTTCTTCAGGGCCCACCCCACAGCCAGGCATTCTTTCTCGATGGCGGCGTAGCTTACTTCTCGAGGTAACAGTTTCCGGCTGATGTAAGCCACGGGATGTTCTCCGCCATCGGCCCCGACTTGGCTCAATACTGCTCCCAATCCAAACATAGAAGCGTCTGTGTGGACAAGAAAGCGTTTTAGTTGGATTGGGAGCTGCCAAGACAGGGGCATTTGTCAATGCATCTTTCAACAACTGAAATGCCTGTTCACACTCCGGGGTCCAGGTTACTTGGCGGGGTAGGTTTTT